TTGGACCAGCAAGGTCCCTATAGGTTGGTGCTTCTCGCTTTAGCACATCATTTTGAAAATCTGATGATGGCTATGGACTCCTGCTTCAGAAAAATGCACTACACCCAACACTGTATGATTTCTGAGGGCTTGTGGCACCCAGGTTACAACCCCCTGTTCGGGATTGTCTAAATCCGATCCCTTCATTTCTTAGCTGAGGTCATGAGGATGAACAGATGTTTCTGTGATGTGGAATCTCTCACTTTCTCCTTGCTTCCACAGAGCCCAGGTCTTGTAGGCTGGGAAAGTTGCGGTGTATGAATGGAGCCTCCCCTCCCCACCACCCCTCGCCCAACCCAGAGCAGGCTACCTTGACTCTAGGCAAACCCTTCTCCCTGTACCTGTGCCAATTTGGAGGAGAAGGACCCGATGGCAGAAGTCAGGCATGGGGGGCGGGGGTGGGATTCCTGAGAGCAAAACATACCCTCTACCCTTGGGAAAGCTGGAGCTCAGGAAGCTGAGTGTGTAAGAATGAGTGTGTGAGCATCAGCAATAAAGGGGCAGATTAATAAAGTGGACTTCATAAAAACTTAAAACTTTTCCTCTCTAAAGGACATCATCAAGAAAGTGAAGGACAACCCAGGGAATGAGAGAAAATCTATATCTGATAAGGACCTTCTATCTAGAATATATAAATATATAAATGAGAGAAAATATATCTGATAAGAACCTTTATCTAAAATATATAAAGGACTCTTCCAACTCAATAATGAAACAACAAACCTGCTGGGAAAAAAAAAATGGGCAAAGGATTTGCATAGACATTTCTCCAAGGAGGAGGCAGAAATGACCAAATAATGCATGGAAAGATGGTCAGCACCATTAGTCATTAGGGAAATGCAAAGAAAAACCACTACGAGCTCTCACCTCACATGCACTGAGATGACTATAATACAAAAAACAGGCAACAGCAAGTGTTGACGAGGGTGTGGAAAGACTAGAACCCTTATGCATTATTGGTGGCAGTGTAAAATGGTGCAAGCCGCTGTGAAAACCAGTTTGGCAGAGGAACTACAGAACCCAGGTGCATATCCAAGAGAAGTTCACAGAAACCTGAACGCAAATGGTCGCAGCAGCATTATTCATAAGACGGCCCAAAGTGGGAACATCCCAAGTGTCCATCAACTGATAATGCATTCGTGCTACATTCACACAACAGAATATTAGGCCATAAAAAGGAATGAACTGCTGATATATGCTATAATATGGATAAACCTTGAACACATTAGGCTAAGTGGAAGAAGCCAGCTATAAGAGATTACACATGACATGATTCCATTGATAGGGAATGTCCAGAATAGGCACATCTATAGAGGCAGAAAGCAGACGAGCGGTTGCTTCGGGCTAGGAAAATAGCAGGAGGAATGGGGAGTGGCTGCTCATGATTCAAGGTTGCTTTTTGGAGACGATGAAAATGCTCTAAAGTGAGGTCGTGGTGACTGCACGACTGTGTAAATATGCTACAAAGCATCGGATGCACACTTGCAGTGGGTGGACTTCACGGCATGTTAATTACACCTCCCTAAAGCTGTTAAAGAGCCCGTGTGCGCGACAGAGCGTGCACGTGTGCGCGGGAGCGCGTACCGCGTTTGGACAGGGTTGGGGCGGCCCCAAGTTGGCTCCCTCTGGCCCCCACAGACCTCCCTGCCTGTGGGTTTAGAAACCAAATTATAGGTTCGGAGGCCGCAGAGCAGCTTTCCCCGGGCCCTCCAGGACTTCCAGGGTTCATTGGAAAGTGGGGGCTGGCCTCCCCCCGCGCTCCGCCCCGCAGGTATGGGGGCTGTCTAGGGGAGGGCAGGGAGAGGATCCGGCTGGAGGAAACCTAGATGGTCTGGGGCTCTTCTTGTCTCTTAGGTCATCCAAGAGACAAGGTATTTACTGAACATGTACACTATGCCAGGCATCGGTGCTACAACAGCAAGCAAGAGGGCTGTCCCCGAACCCGTAAGCCTCCCTTCCCAGCCCTCAGCGGCTCCCAAGTCGGCAGCTTCTCTTCTGCATTCCTCCCCAGTGTGAGTGGGGATGGGAAGGGGAAGAAGGCGGGGCCAGGCGGCCTTGCTCTTGGCCCCGCCCACAGATTAATGGAAACCACCTGGCGGGTGAGCAGCGCTCCACCCCCAGGTCCCCCCCACCCCCCATTCCTTGCCATCGTTCCCATGAGCATCTGCTTCTAATGAGTGCCCGGCACTGCTGCATACCAGCCCCCGGGGCTCATTAATCTCATTAGGCAATGACAAATCATCCTGGGGCTGACCAGGCTCCCCTCACCAGGCCCTCTCCTCCAGGCATGCACAAGCCTCTGCGGGCTTGTGTCCACACACAGCCACTGACTCGCCTGCATGCCCAGGCTCTCTCCCTTGGCCTCTTCTTGGGGCTGCCTGTCCTGTGGCCCACTTGGTCCCCGTTTGGGGGGCTTCTCACTGTGACCGTGGCACCCTCGGAGCCCCGGAAGGTCTTCTGGTGGCCTGCTCTCTGTTGAATGCGTGTGGTGGGGGATGTGGGCAGAGATGCGAGGGACCAGAGGAAAGGGCCATCCGTGAGTATTTCTGGCACCCACGTTTCAGCTACCTGACTGTCCACCCAAGGCTGGGGCGCTCTGGGCAGATCCTATGCAACGAGGGGCTGCCGACATAACATCTTGCAATTTCACACTCTTCCGAGAAGGGAACAGAGTGGCCATTTACTGACAGCCCTTGCTGTCCCCACAACAGCCTGTCCAGGAGTCCCACACCGCCCTTTTCCAGGGGAGAAACCCGAGGCTTGGACAGGCACCTGGAAAGTAAATGGTAGAGGCAGGATGCAATCCCAGACCTCGCTTACTCCAGAGTGGAGTTCTATGCCCTTCAAGACCTCCCCACCCCAGAAGTCTTTCCTCCGCAACGGACAGGCTTGTCCATGCCGAGGGGAGCTGGGACACAGAGGGGAGGGCTCAGAGACAGGGTTTCTCACACCCATCTGGACGACTCTGTACACTCCTTGGCCATGAACGGCTCTGCTGGACCCTGTTTCAGGTTTTCTTGGCCGACAGAGTCCCACAAAGGGTGTCCCCCATCTCTCCTCTCACCGCAGGTGCTCTCTGGAGCACCTGTCCTCCCCTGAGATCATCTCAGGCACGTTCCCACTTGGCGCTCTCTCTGTACTCCTCCCAGCCTCAAGGTCCTGCTATGCATTAACCAGGCCTACTCCCCCCATACGCTTATACTTAACCAATTTTCAAAGGCCAGAGGGGCGCTCAGCACAAGGAGGCAATGATGGCATTTTTTGCAGCCCCGACCTGCCATTTCCATTATTAGGCCAGGCCCCAACCCTCCCACGGGACTTGCTGCTCACAGGCTCTGGGATGTTAGGCTGCCATGGACTCAGCTGCCCAAGCCTGGACGTCTGAGCTTGCCAGCACAGAGAGATCAGTGTTTCCTGGCACCGACTGCACGCCAGGCCACAGCATCTCATTTGTGATGAATAGGCCCACAGTCTAGGGGTCATCTGGTCCACTGGTTCCCAACCCCGGATGAGCATGAGAATCGTCTGCATACCTTGTAAAAAATTCCCAGGCCCCTTCCAACCTGATGCATTAGCATCTCTGGGAGTGGGGCAAGGATCTCTCCCCATCCCTGGGATAGTGGGACACTGGTTTTTGATGACTAAGTTTTATGTGTTCACGTGGCCAGGCTACGGCACCTTGTAACTTACTCAAACATGAATGGAGGTGTTGCTGTGAAGGTATTTTGTAGATGTGGCTAAAGTCTACAAATCAATTGACTTTAAAGGAGATTACCTTTGGCAATATGGGTGGGCCTCATCCAATCAGTTGAAGGGCTTAAGATTAGCAAAAAAGTTTCCCGGAGAAGAAATTCCATCTCGAGACTAAAGCATCAACTCCTGCCTGACTTTCCAGCCTGCTGGCCTGCCCTACAGATTCTGGATTTGCCAGCTACCACAATCACACAGACCATTTCCTTAAATTAAATCTTCTTTATAAAGAACTAAAATAAAATAATTTCTTTTTTTATTTTTATTTAAAAAAAAATTTTTTTAACGTTTATTAATTTTTGAGACAGAGAGAGACAGAGCATGAACGGGGGAGGGGCAGAGAGAGAGGGAGACACAGAATCGGAAGCAGGCTCCAGGCTCTGAGCCCTCAGCCCAGAGCCCGACGTGGGGCTCGAACTCACGGACCGAGAGATCGTGACCTGAGCTGAAGTC